AAGTATATTTGCGTTTATGCATATTTTTATTAGACTCATATCTCACATTCGCTCTATCAAGCGAAGATAGCTCAGTGGTAGAAGTTTTGACTGATACTAAATCGGTCTGGTTTCAGTCCTGACTTGAGGCATTCGGGTGTCTGCTAGCGCTAAGGAGCTGTGAACCAGTCCTGTCTATGAATAACATGCGTATAATTATTTTTAAAAAAATATGATTACATCGCGAAATATAGCAATTTCTGTGTCGCGATGTAATCATATTTTTAATTGCTATATTTCGAAACTTGACTCAAGTCGTAAAGTTTAATTTCAATATTAAACTTAAAATTTAAAATTATTTAAAATTATAATTTAAGCTCTACTTGTGTATCGAGCACTGTTTTTTGTTTTTGTTTTTTTTAAATAAAAACATAAATACTAAAAAACTTTGGATCATTAAACTAACTGTTCTTTCCTATTACATCAACACACACACACATACATATATATATATATATATATATATATATATATATATATATATATATATATAGAGAGAGAGAGATAAATAAGGTGTGCTATATTTATGGGATAAAGTGCTCAATATCATAGATAGAGCGTATGTAAATATAAATATAAAAGTGAACATTGAAGCCAACACTCAGAAGCGACAGGCTGTTTCATGCTGGACGCAATGATTGCGTTCAGCATGAAACAGCCTGTCGCTTCTGAGTGTTGACTTCAATATTTCACTTATATATATATATATATATATATATATATATATATATATATATATATATATATATATATATATATATATATATATGATACGCCTCGAAATTCTAGTACATGTCAATTTTCCTCTTTTTCCAAGATACTCTACATATAAAATACAAATTTTATGTTAACCTCCTCTTGTACAGTAATGGTTCCTATGCCATATTATATAAGTGAACAATGCAGTTAGAAACACCCAAAATAAATACAATGTATTTAAATACAAATGAGAGACATTTCATAATAGATCAGTCCATCTTAAATAAATCAACAATGTTTTGTGACAATTTTTAACATCAACTTGTGATTTTTCTTGTTAAAAGGTTTAATAATTTTAACACATTCGATATTATGGATAAAAAAAAAAAAATAGTGAATTTTAGATAGTAGTGCTTGTTCGAAACTTACCCTGAGCAAAACAAATTTACGGACTTGGACGGAAAAAAATGACCGCAGAATGACGTCAAAAACCGCGAAAAATTGTTTATCCTACGATTTGTGTGTCTAGTTTAATTTATAGAAAAAAGCAAATGTTTGGTAAGATAGAGAGGGTCACAAAGCACTGCCCGGTTGACTACTCCCCCCCATCAATCATTACTGGTCGGGGGTTGCTCCCCATATTTGAGTAGACGTTTTATTTATTTATAAAATACTTAAAGATGGAAATCCAATCCAAATAAGGAATGAGAAATAAAATCTGAGGAGTTACGGTGGAGTAATGGATAGCGGCTCGGATTACAGAATGGGAGAGCCGAGTTCGAATTCCAGTCGAATCCATTATTCACTTACGTGCCAATACCCTCTTCTTCCTCCAGCTATGGGTAAATTCGTAAATAGCAAGACAGACCGGATTCTATAACCTTGGATAGCAATTAGCCTACCGCAGGAAAAAATGGCAACCTACTGCGGAGATCTGCCTCGTCAGTCATGTATCAAAAGATACATGATCGCCTAAGCATGTATCATGCATGGCACATAAGTGAACTGAATAAAATCTGTCGATATTAATCTATCGCTTCTTTTTGTTTAGAAATATATATGCCTTTTAAAATTAATATTTTTAGATTTGTTAATCATCCCACACTAAATAATTTTCTCCTGATTTTATTTTTAAATACACATTATTTTTTTTTTTTTTTTTTTTTAAAAAAACGACCTTTCGTTCGTACGTATTTTCTGGAAGGAGACCTAAAATATTTTCCGCATACAAGATTTATGGAAGTTTTAGGCGCTAAAATGTTTCGAATAAAAAGAAGAATTTAACAAGTGTTTTTCTGATTTATTTTGAAAATTAACGGCCAAAAAATATTTATTCTATTTATTTTATTTTTTTCCTCAGCATAAATAAATGAGCTGAAGAACATATATCGTTGTGTACATTACGCTTACAAATTGCTATGAAAAAAAAAGTGTTTTCTTTTTGGAAAGAGAAACATTTTTTTTTTAGTCACTAAGTGTGTCGAGGCTTGCTTTGTTAATAACCTTTAAAAAAATCATGTGATTCTTTGCTATTATTTGAATTTGGGCTAGTGTAGATTTTTTTTAATTTATCGCTCGAAGTATTTTTTTCACATTAACAAACATTGAATTTCCACCTTTTGTGTTCATTTCTTTAACTAGCCTCATATTCTGAGTGCCACTTTGGATTGGAAAAAACCATACATCGGAAATCATGAAATTAACGAAAATAAGCATCCGAAATGCATAATTAATTTGTTTTAGTTAATTATTTTCCATGGAA